TACCCGCCGCCGTCGCTGTCGCCGTCGCCATGGCCGTCGCTTTGTGGTGGGTGTTGCTGCTTCTCTTCCTCAGACCGCAACAGGAACGCGACTGGTGCTGTTCCTCGGTGGAATCGAGGTGGGCTTCTTGATTAAACCCTATTTTTGCTGATTTTAAGCGAAGCTAAAGCTTCTTCAAAGGTATTTTAATGGCGGAGAACGGCGTGTGTGCGTCTGTGACGAGGTTTTGGTGGGTTTGAGAGTGTAAAGGTGTCTTATCTCTCTGTCCCTCTGTCTAGTTTCTCTTGCCCTTTATATTTTGGTGGTTTCTGCTTTGTTTCATGTTTTCCTTAAATCAATTTATTTAATTATTGTTTACGTATCCGTTAAGTTTATCTGTAAATCTGGATATATTAACGCATATATAATATAGAAAAATCACATATTAATTAAAAAATCTCAAATAAATTTAAGAATTTTAAAATTTCAAAATAAATATATATATTTTTTCCAATTTTTATATTAAACCCTAAACTTTTTAAAAACAACAAAAATAAATCATGAACTTTTAAATTATTTTCAAAAACTATCATAAAATTAAATCTTAAATTTTTAAATAATTTCCAAAGACCACCATGATATGAGGTTTTTTTAGAATTTTATAAGAGTTTAGGTTTTAATTTAAAAATTAAGAAGAGTTATTGTATTTTATTTGAAAATTTTAAATTTATTTATTTGAGATTTTTTTATAAATTCGTGTATTAATATGTGGTTTTTTTTCCAATGTATCTTCGGCTCACCCTTTTGCAACACTAAGATTTTGATATTTTAAATGGGGTATTTATAGTTTTCTAAAATATCAGGAGTAATTTTAATGGTGTTTTATAAATTTTGTTTAATATTAAGAATATTATCGTCTGTAGCAATTATTCAGCGAAGACAAAGGTACCATTTGAGTAACATCATATGGTCGGTCCATTTTCATGAAAATTTATAGATTTCCAATCCTTTTAGTATCATAGATTTAAAAATTTTATCTCTACGTATTTGTAATTTCCATATATATTATAGAACTAAAATAATTTTTCTACAGTTTTATTTCTTTTGATGTTAGACCGAAAAAATCCCATCTTTCGGAAAGATGACGACAAGTTTCAACAAAGCAAAAGCCGAAAAATGTATGAAATAAATGCAGCATATATATATATATATATATGTATGTACATATACATATATGTGAGAAGATGGCAAATAAGTACGTTAAGGAATTCATTAAAAGAATAAGAGAAATAAACAAAAGACCGAAGAAAATGACCTAACTGCCAAATGCCAACCACACACACCCAATCGTAATCTGATATATAATAAATGAATATTTAATAGTTTTCTAGAAAAAATACAAACAGCGAAGCAGATTCAAATAAATGAAACGTCCGAATCATAACTGAATATTTCGAATATTTTTATATTCTTTGTGGACGAGAATACCCATTGGAGCAAAGTCTGTCCAAAGATCGCATAAATTGAATTGTTGTAACGTTTTTTTTATAATTAAAATTAGTAATAATTTGAAATTTAATTTATAGAAGGATTAGAATGGAATAAAATAGGTTTACAATACAAAAAAAAAACAAGACAGAGTAGAGGGGCAGCTCATCTAAACCCTTTAGACAAATTTATCAAAACTACTTTCCAACTTGGCCCATCTTTTTTTTTTTAAAATCCTTCAACAAATCCATTGGTTCGATAATTCAAACCTCGAGATTTATGTTATATAAGTTTTACAAATTGTAACGTTATAATTTATAACATTCCTCAAGATATATAAAAAAATCATTAATATTATGATTAAGGGATGGTAAATCAATTAATTCAGTTTAATATAATGTGAATTGTGTAAATAACCCAATTCTTCATTTGATAATAAGACAAACAAGAGAAATTTTCTTCCAAAAAATATCTTTGAATTCTTTAGACTTCGATATATATGGGGTGATTAAATTTGAAAGTTTTGTCTTGGAAAAAGCGTGCAATTTGATTCTTGTTTGTTCAACTTTTACTAATAAAAATTGAACAATTAGTATAACAAAATGTGTATTTTAACATGGATAGTTGAATATTTATATAAAAATATTAAAATCAATGAACTACAAACTGCTCATGGGTTTAGAAAAGGATGTGATTTCGTTCTCCACGTAGAATAAAGAGGCATACTGTTGAATCTTAATTAAGGCTTAATTAGGAATTATGAGTTAACTCGTCTCCAAATATATATATATATATATATATAAGTAATGTTGTGTCTATTATTCTAACCATCAATTTTTTTTTTGTAACCGGATATTATGGATTGAATTTCAGACTAATCATGGGATTGAGAATAAACTATATGATTAAAATTACGCTTTCCTTCTCAACTTAAAACTCGAATTCCATTAGATCAACTATTATTAAAAAAAAAATATTGTGTGTATTAGTATTAATTATCAGTATAACTAACATTATTTAAACTAGTTCAGATAAAATTAATATACATTATTATTATTAATTTTATACGTATCCTCTATAAAACAAAACTAATTTCTTTTATTTTTATCATATTATTAGTAGTTGATAATATATATATTCTTGCATGGAATTAAAGTATAGTAGTTATTAAAATACTGTGTCTATTCAAGCTTTATTGAAATTTAAATGTCAAATATAATCATTTTCGATTTGAATCAGAATCATCCGGTCGTCTCGCGGAAGATTTCCGGTCAAAACCCAAATGCTTAATCTTTTTTTTTTAAGCCATTGCGTAATTACATCATTAATTATGCTAACAGTAACATTTTTCAAATAAAAGCAAGTATGATTAGAAATCAATATGCACATAAAATATACTAAAAGGCTTAAAAATTAATACTTATATAACGACCGGTGGGCCGTGGGGGACCAAACAAAACTTTGAAACATTCATAGATGGAGAAACAAGAATCAACGGCCAGGATTGAAGATATCTTCGAAGGAATCTCGTGGTAGGGACCATCCAACGGTGGAGGTCGAAAAGCATTACCACAGTGGTAATTACCTGGATTGCTGATTGTTTAATATCCTTAATCAATGATTAAATCTTTAATTAGGCTAAACTAAAAAAAAAAGGTTCAACCTTTAACCTAATACTAATGAGCAGAGGCAGTGTTTTGCCATACTCATCATCATCTGTGGTGATCCGATTTTATTTTTCTATTGTTTAACAAAATAATTGATATAAGATTTTAATAAGAATACAATTTTTTTTTTGATAAGTGTATGGGTGAATAATATTTTGTTCGTAGATTATTATATTATTATGGTATAATTACAGCGACAGAATCAATAGAAAAAGTATGGTTATTATATTGCATGGATGAGTTGTCCGTTGCGTTTTTAAAATACAGATATTTTATGAGTTTTATTTTCTACGATTTAAATGTTTAATACATACATACACACACACGCAAGAGACAGATATGCCGTATGAATCGATGTTATCGAAAGGTGCTGTGATATTTGAAACTAGAGGGCAAGGTCTTGGACTCATTCTTAACACATAAAATTAAAATAGTTTTTTGTTCATATTATAACTAATAAATACCTCATAAGACTATGAACGACAAAGACAACAACATATGGGTGGGTCGGCTCGGGTCAGCCCGAACCCGCTTTCAACTTGAGAGTTTCGGGTTTGGATTTGGGTCGATCCGATCTTTTTTTTGTGTGTTTGAATAACTAAATCTGAATTAGACTAGTCCGAAGTCCAATCTGAACCGGATCCAAAAAATTTCGGACCCAAAAATTCGGACTCTTGCCCTTCGGGACCAGGTCAGCTGGTTGGGTGCAGGAGCAACTCCTTGAGGTGGGGGGATCGAATCCTGCCGTCTCCCTTCCTCTGACCTGCTCGCCTGTCAGCCTATCATAATGGGCTGATTTACCTCCTACGCTTGTGTTGCAGGCTCGTGCGCGTGGGCTTGGGGTTTGACCTGCAGGCGCCTAAACCCAACTACGGCCCGAACGTTAGGCGTGCCTGGTGGCCAGGTCCGGTCGGGGGACTGTTAGGCGCGGGTGATGGCCAGTTCGTCTCCGTTTGTAAGGGTAGGTAGTCACGGGGTTCCCCAATCTATCAAAAAAAAATAATTCAAACTCTTATTATTCGGATTAGACTGGACCAGGCTCCGACCATCTGACTCTGCCCAAAATTGATAACACACCAAAATGTCACATTGTGTTTATCTTTGTCGCTATCACTAATTAAATAATATATCCCTACGTGCGTACTCGAATTTCTTTACGGCAAAAATTAAAAGGAAAGAATGATTGAATGAATGACAAAAATGTAAATTCTTTCATAAACGTCTTTAAACTCATGACGTTTTTATTGTTTTTTATATATATAATAATGAGGTTTTTATTGTTTCATCAACGACAATTATCTTAATTGTTTTTCAAAAATAATCCTCAAAACTCTATAAACTCGATCATAAAAACTAAATAAGCTTAGACACGTATATGAATATATGATTCTAAATCTCTAAATTAGAGAAAATATATAAAGTTATTAGAAACTTCCAAATAGGCATACAAGGTTTTGTATTTAAAGGAAACTAATCGTTGGGCCGGGATGATGGCCCATAAAAATAATGGGCCTATATAGTTCACTGTCTTTCAGGGTAGCCCACTTGTAAAATGCTCAAATATTTTTTTAGAATCCTTCAAAAGACACCATGGATAGTTAAAAAAAAAAAAGAAGGTATTTTGGCATTTTGAACAAATTTTAATCTTTGGTTTCATCGGGCATTTTAATGAATAGTAAAATAACATTGGAATAAAATCTATATATACGACCAAATTAAATGAGTTAATTATAACAAAACACAAACTGTTGAATTTTATAGTTTATGTCCGGGCATATAAAATCCCATTTATTTGGACCATATATTTTCATTTTTTTGCGTGTAATTCGTTTATAGATCCAAAGGTCAAAATATATGGTTCCAATATTAAACGTTAATGTTACTACTACTACCGCTTAGGGATTAAGATTTCGAATTTACATGATGTTTTTGTTATTAGTTTTAGTTGGGTTCTATTCGATGTAATATATATTTGTTTTTTTTATAAATCGATATTGTTATTTAAATTTAAATTTTCGAAAAGTTTCTATGTAATTTTGATTCGTTCAATACTAAAAAATGTCGACGCTACTAATGATGATCACATATAACAGAAAAACATTGAAAATAATGACAATTCATTTGACAAACAAAGCTAGC